TTTGATCTTGTCAGAATCCCAACCACTAGACCATTGGGATAAAAGGACTTGTTTCAGTAGCGGGTCAGTGCGCCCATAACCCCCCAGGCTAACCGGCCTGTAACCCTCCAAGGATCAATCGGGGATCTCACAGTGCAAGTCTTCTGACACCCCCCCACACTGGGAGGTCCAGGACTCGGCACAGCGGCAACAGCCAGCATGTGCATACACTGGGATTCGAACCCGAGACCGCTCTGATATCATGTCAGAATCCCAACCACTAGACCATTGGGATAAAAGGGCTTGTTTCAGTAGCGGGTCAGTGCGCCCATAACCCCCCAGGCTAACCGGCCTGTAACCCTCCAAGGATCAATCGGGGATCTCACAGTGCAAGTCTTCTGACAGATCTATAGAAAGCAATTTGATGGAGATATGATTTCGGGACCAGGTCTGGCTCATGAAGTACACGAAACAGCTTCAGTGAGGCGGTTTGGCCCAGCAGGGCAAGAAGAAAGTCGAAAGAAAACAAAAAGAAACTGCTCGAATCCCAACACAATCCCGCATCATCCAGTCACAGTGCTTCGCAGAGTCTAAAGTGGCTCAAGGTTTTACACCTAACCTCCGATAATTTCAAAAAGTGAGCCCCGAGCCGCGTCCTTGTCGGTTTGCCCTGGGTTTGAAATTGGGGAAAAAAAGATTTGGGGGTTTCTGACTGTTTTGAACTGTGTGAGAGCGGTTGTACTCGGTTTAGGGTATCGGAGGGTTGTTGCGTGGACCGAACCGCTCCCAACCAGGACCCACAGGTGACGACAAGGGCCTTGAATTTGTAGGGAATGTAATTAGCGGAGGGCAGGTGTATTGTTGCGTATACAATCGCGAAATTTGCTTGACAATAATTCACTTGGCAGTATTTAGTCGAAGTGTTCTGTCATATCTTTTATATAATTGAAAAAATTACCAGGGTTTAGTGCAGCGCAATGCTACAATATCAGGAAGTCTCTTCCATCCCCAGGTCTTGCTACGACCTACAGGTAGCAAGCAGGGTGATTTTCAAGTCAAAATACTACCTAAACAAAAGCCATAGCTGAAGCGGACCAGTGGAGTAAACCATGCTTGCTTACTAACCTTACATCCAATGGACAATGGACATTAGCGCACCAACAAAACCAAAATTCCTGCCTAGCAATCCCTGCAGCGTCCCACCCTGTCTCTACGTGCCTGTTGCAGGAGCTTAACCCTGTGGTGGTGATTCAGGCAGCTCAGGCAGTTCAGAAAGTAGGCAGTTCAGGTGGTTTTGGTGGTGTAAGCTGTTTCATTAATCTCAGCCGGTTTAAGCGGGGACCTTGGAGGCGATCTTCTCCTTGGACTTGTGCAGCTTGAGCACCTTCTTCACGATCTTCTGCTCCTCCACCAGGAATGCGCGGATGATTCTGTTGCGGTGATGCGCAGAGCAGAGCATAGCAGGAAAGAGAGGCGGAGGCAGGGAAGTGAGATGTGAGGAGTCAAAAGTTACTTCTGGTCAAAAGTTACTTCTGGTCAAAGGTTCACAGATTGTTTCGCACAAAGAATCACAAGAGCAGTGATGGCGAGAGGAGAATAAGTGGGAAAGGGGAAGACCGGGAAGCAATGGAGTAGGGCACTGGAGGGGGGTTGATGGGGGATGGGGAAACGGGAAAAGGGCAATGGGGCAGGACGTTGACGGGGAAAGGGCAATGGGGCAGGACGTTGACGGGGAAAGGGCGATGGGGCAGGACGTTGACGGGGAAAGGGTGATGAGTCAATAAGGGAAACGAGTGCTATAGCGCTGCACTTGCTTTGCCCCTTGCATCAGCTTCCACGTACAACCATCTCTTGGTTCCTCCCCCCTTCCTCGCCCTTTCCCTCCCCCCTTCCTTCCCCTTCCTCCCCCCTTCCCTTCCCCCTTCCTCCCCCTCCCTCCCCCCTTCCTTATGCCTTGCTTTCGCCGTCCTTCTGATTCCATCCGTTCTGATTCCTTCCTTTCCGATTCGCGGCCTTCTCGCCCCGCCTCCCCTTTCTGCATCGTTATTCATGCCGCCTTGATCTCGCACTTTGACGCGTTTTCTCTCGCGGAACCACCCCCGTACTCCGCGCCTATCCTCTTCTGTCTTACCCCTTTCGCAAATCCCTCTTCCCGCTACACACAACCCCCTCTTCCCCAACCCCCCTCCACCCTTTCCCCCCTCCCCCATTTCCCTCCTCTCCCCTTTCCCCGCTCCCCCTTCCCCTTTTCTCTCCCTCTTCCCCACCTTGCTCCCCGCGCCGTACCTCTCGCGCACGCATTTCCCGCAGATGGCGCCGCCGTAGATGCGCGTGACGCTCTTCTGCTTGCGCGACATCAGGTTGCGCGTGAGCTTGTGCGCGGGGAGCGCGGGGACCTGCGCCGATGGGGGACACGGGGAAAGCGAGGCGGAAAGGGGAAGGCGCAGAAACGGGAACGAAACCCTCAGACGTGCTTCGGAAGGCCGCGCGACACACAAGCACGCGCACGGGCAGCGCAAAGACCAGCGCAAGCGACGGCGGCGAAGGCGAGAGGTGGCATCGGAGGCTCTGGAAGAAAGTGAGCGAGACCGTGAATAGCGCAAGTTCCCCTCAGGGATTGTGTGTCGAACTGAGAAGGGGATTAACCAGGCTCGCGACAGGATTACAGCGGCAGACATATAGCAGTCGAGCGTAATCAAGCGTAATCGAAATAATGGTAACGGGACTTACACCAGGGAGGATGCGCGGGCACTTGCCGCACTTGACGCCATTGGCTCTCTTGGCGATGTACTGGATTGTGAGCTTGCCTCCTGCTCCGGGTCAGCGGAACAGACATGGGCGGAAGTAACATGGGCGGAACAAACGTGAGCGGGACACACGGGTTGAGCAGGGGAGAAGCGGGAGATGCGAATGTACGATGTCTGGGCGTCTCAAGATTCAATGATCAGGGGATAAGTGGGGGATATGTGTGGTGCAATGTTCGCTCCACGCGCCAATCCATTTACATGCCGGATGCGACGTAAAAGTATGTTCCACAGTCGGACGCACGAGAAAGGATATTAGCCAGGAACCGAAATTTCAGGCTTTTTGCATAAACCGTGCCCTTATAACGACCCCGCAAGATGCCATTAACAAGATTCTGCGACGCAAGCGAGGCGACCGAGGAACGATCAACAACGGAACGGACAGGACGTAATTAGGGTTTCCGAAGAAAAGGTAAGGTGAGAAAGTATCGTGCCTGGGGTACGGATGGTGCGGCGGAGGTTCGAGCGCGTGGCATAGGGGTGCCTGCGGCGGTATGTGAAACGCTCGCCCATGGTGCTAGGGTTTCGTGCGTGCTACGCCGACGATGGCTGCCGCTGACGTGTCAAGAGGCTCCTACACCCGTGTGGGTGAGGTAAGGTTCTAGGGCGTAGTGAGAAGAGGCGAGGGAGAAAGAGGTAAGAGGAAAAGTGAGAGGGGATTTGAAGGGGAGGGGACGACAGGCGTGCGCGGGAAGCGCACGGGGAAACTGGGGTGAGAAAGTTGGCCAGGTAGCGGGGGAGAGAAGGGGCGGGGAAAGTAAGCGGAAAATATTACCAGGAAGTGGGAAAACGATGGGGAGTACAGGAGGTTGGGGGAAGAGCATGGGGAAGCGGGGTGAGGTAACTGCAGAGGTTGGGGCGGAAGTTCTGGGTGCATGGGAGGAGGTTGCGAGAATATGATGCGTGGTGGGAATCGGTTCCGGCGCAGAATGGTGAGGTGGGGATAGTTCGAATATGGGAAATTTTATCGAGTATGACTATACTGCTGTCAAGGTTCACAAGGCATATCCGATCAAGTTTCTTAACAAATATTTGTAAATTATGGTGGACTGTACTGAAGTCTCTGACATCTGACACTAGCGGGATTTTTCGATTTCAAGCATCGAGCTTTGGGACTTTCCCATCGAGAGTTGCTCCTTCCTCCTGCTCCATTCTGCTCCTTTTTTCTGCAATTAGAACGCATCACCTGAATGCGGTCAAATGCGATATATATTTGAATAAGAGCGACTTGTCTGTTTCTAAACTGGTTGGGTGGGGTTTGGAGCTTAGAGGAAAGGACACCCCAATCACCCTTGGTTACTCAGTTGTGTGAATTGTCAGTAATCCTGGCTTTCTGTGATTCTTGCACGAGCTCAGCAGGAAATGACAATGAGGGAAACTACCTTGCTGTTGCGCTTTCTGCGAAGCCATTGATCCTGCTTGCAAAGTCATCGGAACGCTCGACCTCGCTAATTTCATAGTGAATTTCGCCACTCATCCTCCTCACAGTAACTTCTCCTCGCGGTTCCTTTCCCTCCGACCTAGCTCGATTCACACCACCAGTCTGGTTAGAGTGCTACTTTACATAGGGAAAGGTATTGCGAGACTGAAAAGTCCGACTCGTTAGTCCGTTCGCGCGCCGCGCGATCGCGTCACATCGCCTGGTCGTAGCTCGACACGTGTCATGGCCAGCGTGGCAGCGGCGATCAACAGAGCGTCGTCGTCGAAAGTCGACGCGGATCTATGGTGGTCCCCACACGGTGCCTTGCTGGCGCGACTGGAGGCGATTGACAGTAGGGGAAGTGACAATGTCGAGGAGGATGGTCGCGAGCTGGTACGTGTTACGAGAGTGAGCAAAGTTTGTAACAAGCTCTGTAACCAACGGGGTTTGTCGTCGCTTAACGTTCACACACAAGTCGGATACGTGCCTGAATGAGACTGACGGAGACTGACGGAGACGGACGGAGACTAACTATCGCGTCTGGTTCGTACGTTATCTCTCATCGTGTAAGTCTCACAATCAGAGTCGGTAGGCGCAGTGACCCTAAGAGTTGGGGTTCTGGTTGTGAGCCTGACGCTATCAGAGCCCTCACTCAAGCTTGTCCCTGCGTCTGTATGACTCGCTTGTAGTCCAGACACCTTGACTGGGACACTTGAAATTCAGATTCAGAATCCTGGTTTTCACGAGGCAAGACATTACCCGAGAACAGCCATTATCCAGAACCATAGCTCGGAGCCATGATCAAACAATCAAAGCTCGTAACACCTCTGCCTCAACCCCTTACCCCCGTGATCCGTCTCGTGCAGGCCAGGAGCCTATCAGAGCATCACACGTGGCTGCTGCACGGCTTGGCGTGCTTCAAGCCTCCCAGCAGCCGATCCCGCGACGCCATTGGCGCAGCTCGTCTGGAAGTGGGCGTGGGGGCAGCAGGAGCATCGCAAGTGATCATCCCCGTGGTGGGCAGGCTAAGAGAAGCTGCTGTGACTGCAAGCGCTGTGATTGTAAGTGGGGATGGTAGGAACAAGGCCATGGGGGTGCAGGGCAGGGTCCGTCCCTTGGAACGGGAGGGAGGTGGCGCTTTTGCTGGTTGGTTGAAACGTCTCAGAACTTTCGCCTCACTGCGTGTGCGTGTGTGTGTTTATGAGTGTTTACAGAGATTGGATGAGACGCAAGCATATCTGTTGGCGGATAGGGTGGGCGGAGGGGAGAGGGCGCAGGTGGGGGAGGCGGAGGGGGAGGGCGCAGGGAAGGGCGGGTTGGAGGAGAAGGAAGAGCAGCGGAGATTGGTGCAGGAGGTATGTGTGTGTGCGCGCGCGCTTGTGTGATGGATGCATGTGTGGTGCTTTGGACTACGTAGCAAACGAGGCCATGCCTTCGCGCACCACATGCCATGTGACACAGATTTCCTGTCTATATTAGCCTCCCTACTTGCCTCCACGTGCTCTGTGTGCGTGCAGATCGTGGCGTTGTATGAGGAGGAACGGCAGAGTCCACTCAAGTGCCTGCGGCTTGACTTTTGAGTCGACTCAAAAGTTCCCTCCACGTGCTCTGTGTGCTTGCAGATGCTGGCGCTGCATCAGGAGAAACGGCAGAGTCTGCTCAGATGTTTTGAGACGTCTCTAAACAGTTTCTCCTTCCCTCCGTTCACATGCATGCTCTGTGTGCTTGCAGATGCTGGCGCTGTATCAGGAGGAACGGCAGAGTCTGCTCAGATGTTTTGAGACGTCTCTACACAGTTTCTCCTTCCCTCCGTTCACATGCATGCTCTGTGTGCTTGCAGATGCTGGCGCTGTATCAGGAGGAACGGCAGAGTCTGCTCAGATGTTTTGAGCCGTCTCTAAACAGTTTCTCCTTCCCTCCGTTCACATGCATGCTCTGTGTGCGTGCAGATTGTGGTGCTGTATCAGGAGGAACGGCAGAGTCTGCTCAGGTGCCTGCGGCTTCTGCTCGCCATGCAAGGTGCGCAGCTTTTGCAGCCTTCGCTGCTGCATGATACTCCCATGATGATAGCATGGTGTTACTTCTGTTACTGACTTACTGACTCATTGGTGCTACTTTTTTTAGTCGATCCATGTTAAAGCGGACTCAATACACGATACTACCTACCCTGAACCCTCCTCGCCCCCCCACCCTCTCCCCACAATTCTTCCCCGCCCTGTACCCTTCCTTCCTTATTCCTGCTGAGTTATCCTCTTCGTATGTGTCTGCCATGGTGTGTCACAGCAAACAGGTGATGACTCGGTCCTCCCCCACGATGAGTTTGGGGTGGAGATGAGTTTGTGACTGGCAGTCCTGCTGGAGGGAAGCCTGCTATGCAACTCATCTCCACCCAAACTGCTGCTTTTTGAGTCGACTCAGAAGTCACCTGAGTTTGGGGTGGAGATGAGTTTGTGACTGACTAGCAGTCCTGCTGGAGGGAGATGCATGAGGGAGGGAGGTGACAGTCCTGACAGTCCTGCTGGAGGGAAGCCTGCTATGCAACTCATCTCCACCCCAACTGCTGCTCCCTGCCTCCGCTTTTCTTGATTGCAGCTGACGCCTCCTCCCGGTATGCATATGCCATGGAGGGGGAGATGCAATCCCTGCTGAAGGAGGGGCTGCTGTCAAACGTCATGGCTCAGCTCAGGTCGCTCCCGCGATCCCAACCCCCCAAGGCTCTGGTACGTGCTGCTGGTGTGCTGCCATGCTGCCATGCTGGTATGCAGACATGTCTCGATAAGTAACCCGCCATTTGTTGCAGGGCGCCTTCAAAGTTCAAAGTCTGGAGATTGAAGTCCGAAGAATGTTTGAATTCTCTCAGAAGCTCTTGTGCTCATCTCCAGGACCACAATCAGTGCTTCCTCTTTTCAAGGCTTACCCAAGAATTGAAAATCCTTTTCCTTTCAGCTTACCATCATAAACCCTTATCCATTTGCCTTCTCATCTCGTTCCTTTCTTTCTTCAGGATCGTGCAGGGATGGCGGGATGGGCAGAAGCATCCTCGTTAGAAGCATGCTTGTTACTAGACATCCTCATCCTCATCGCCTCCTGTAATGGCTGTCGTGCTGGAGACATCCTCGATATAATCACACTCATTCAGGTGCCCTTCCGTGGTTCTTCTGTATTGTTGTCGCAGTCTTACCATCCACTTTGATCGGTTCAGCATTGCACTCTCCTTCAGTTCCCTTCTTCATTCTCTCCTTCTCCCTACTCCCTCTTTCTTTCCCCCTGTTCTTCCCTCCTTTGCTCCTTCTTCCGTTCTCTTTCTCAATGCCAACTCTCTAAGTGATGTTTAACCCTGTGTAATTCAAAACGAGAGATTCCCTTTTACTTCCCCACCCCTCTTACCTGACCCCTTCCAACCCGTTCTGACCCCTTCCAATCCCTTCTGACCCCTTGACGACCCCTTCTGACCCCTTCCATCACCTTCTGACCCCTTTGAACCCCTTCTGACCCCTTGCCGACCCCGTCTGACCCCTACCAGGAGCTTTTCTTTGGCTTCACTCCCTCCCCACCGTCCCTCTCCTCATCTCCATACTCCACCCCTCCCTCCTCCTCCTCCTCGCCCTCCTCCCCCTCCGTATCTCTCGCCTCTCTAGCCATCAGTGCAGCGGCTGAGTCACTCCTCTCCACCGCACTGCACCGTGCTGTGCTCCTGCTAATTGCAGCTGTGGACGTGGAAGGGGTCGTTGTGGCCCTGGCGCGAGGGATGCAGTTCAGGTGCGTAATCACTCTCGTGCCTTCTCTCTGCTGCTGCTGCTCCTGCTGTCACCAAAGCAGGGGAACATAACTCATGTGTTTCTTCTCATGTGCTCGCCCCCTCTTCACTGGTGCAAGTGGATCAGCGTCTCGCTGCGTGGCTCTCCTGCCTGCTCTCTGCCGCTGCTGCTGCTGCCAAAGGAGAGGAGGCTTGCTCATATGTGTTTCCTCTCGTGTCCCCTTCCTCCCTGCTCCCGCACACATGTTCTCTTCCTCCCTGCTTCCTCCTTCGCCAACAGCACCTCACAACACCCCCTCTCATCCCCCTCTGACCTCTCGCAAGTGGATCAGCGTCTCTCTGCCTGGCTCTCCTGCCTGCTCTCTGCCGCTTCTGCCAAGGGAGGGGCCAGTGGTAGAGGTGAAAGGGAGGAGTTTGGTAGTGGAGTGGGGATGGCAGAGGAGGGGATCGAGGAGGGGTTTGGAGGAGGGGCAGGAGGGGAGCGGGGACTCACTGGTTTGAATGCAGTGCTGCCACTAGTGGGGGCGACTGGTAGTGCTGGTGCACGTTCAGATGTGTCTCCTGTGCTGCTCGCATGGGGTCTCTTGCGCATGCTGCTGCAGTGGCTGCCGGATTCCTCTCACCTGCCGGTACGGTAACACACGGGAGGTAGGTGCTGCTCTTCTCTGCTCCGCTCTTCTCCCTTCTCCGCGCCACTGCGAGCACCTGCGTAGCGTTGAACCCGATAGTGTGTGTGCAAGTTGCGTACACAGCAGGCGCTCTGAATTGGATACTCTTCTCTCTGCTTTCCTCCCGACTTCTCGTCCCTACACTCGCCCTCCCTGAAATCACCTGTCTGCGTGCTCCGCCCTCTTCTCCTCCTCTCCTCCCTTCTCCCCACCACTGCAGGCACCCGCGTTGAACCCGGGGTTGTGTGTGCAAGGAGCCTATGCAGCAGACGCGCTCGACTGGGTTCTCTTCTCGCTGCTCTCCTCCCCCCTCCCCGCCCACCCCTCCAGCGACCCTGTGAGTCAATCTTCTCGTTTAGATGTAGCTTTTTGTGAGCAACTTGCTTGTATTCAACATCTTAACATTCAACATCTTAACATTCAGCACCTTCAGTCAAACTTCTCAGCAGTCAACTCCTTTCAAAGTCACCGTTCTAATAGTTATCTCTTGAAAAGGTGCTTACTTTCTGGGCCTACCTCAGTGCCTATTGAGACATCTGTCCCCCCCACCCGTGCTGTCCCTTTGTGGTGTGTGTGTGTGAGCAGGTGATGCAGAGAGTGTTGAGGAGATGCGTCAAGGGGCTTTGCACAGCCTACCTCACTGCATTTGACATTTCCAACCAGGTCTGTAACAACCAAGACTTGTGTGTTTATCTGTATTTGCTTATTCATATGTAAAATTTGTTAATACAAAGTACTACCATCAGCTGTTTGTGTCAATTTGTTTTGAAACCCTTATCTTGTTCTGTTGATGTCATTCTACCCCCATTTCAGAAGGGCACTCGGCTGTATGCCCTTCTTCTGGAGATCATCTGCCGCACCTTTTCAGAGCAGGTCCGTGCCTTGTCACCCTTTTGCACCGCACAGCACCGCATGACACTAGATACACCACCTGTTGTGGCACCATGTCCCACACCACACCACCTCACCACACACCTCACCACCTCTCGCCCAGCTCCCTCTCAGTTTTTTAGACATTTTCCTGTCCTATCTCATACACTCCTACTTACTCGTATCCCATTCCCCGTTCTGATGCCCCCATCTCCTCTCTCCATTCTTTCGAAAGAAATAACTCTCTCATCACTCACATGTATAGCTTCTCTCTCTTCACCCCGTGCTACCCCTTTGTTGCCCCGACTCACCTCTTCATGCCCTTTCTCACCCATTCTCTTCCCGTCTCACCCTACAGGAGTCGCTATGCACTGAATTTTGGGATGCCTCTGCCTCTCCCTCTGATGCCCCCCTGCGCTCGCTCCTAGCCGCCACCAGACGAGACTTCCCCGCACGCCCCCTCCCCTTCCTGCGCCTCCTCTCCGCCCTCTCCCATGGCTCATGGCCTGCTCGCTGCACGTGAGTTGCTATTTATTTTCTCTCTGCTCGGGTTCTCCTCTCTGCCCTCTCTGCCCTCTCTGCCCTCTCTGCCCTCTCTGCCCTCTCCAATGGCTCCTGTTGCACTCTTCTGCTTGCTGTTCGGGACATCTCTCACCGCACCCACCCCCCTCCCTTCCTGCATTTCCTCTGTGCCCTCCGCACATGAGTTGCTGTCCTCTCCTCCCATGGTCTTTGAACGATTGATTAACAGCTCTGCTCTCCTCCTCTCTGCCCTCTCTGCTTTCTTTTTCCCACACACAGCCCCTGGCCCTCCCTCTGCACGTGACTTGCTATCCTCTCGCTTCTCGTGTTTATCTCGTGTTTGTTTGCTGCTGTTCGAATCCACGTTTTCTTCCGTGGAGGAGGCAGCTGACGCTTTCTGAATGCTCAAAGAAACGTTTCTGCACTCTCCCTCTCTTCCCCTCCCCACCTCCTCCCCCCTTCCATCCAACCCTGCCTACCGCTATACGTCAGATTTGAATTTCTCGAGAGCACCATGGGTGCAGCTCTCCTCCTCCCCCTGCCGCCCGCCTGTGCCTCCCTCTCCGCCCTCTCCGCTCCCCAGCCCCTGCTGCTGCCTGGCTGTGGGGGGTTGCTGTTGCCAACTGGGGCGCGGGGGGAGGTGGTCGAACGGGAGAACGGACTTTCACTGGTGCATTTTGAGGTGAGGAATTTTGGGGAAGGTAGGGTCTGTGCCTCCCTCCCTCCTCCCCCAGCCCCTGCTGCTGCCTGGCTGTGGGGGGCTACTGGTTCCTGCTGGGGCGCGGGGGGAGCTGGTGGAAGGGGGAGGGGGAAGGGATGGAACGGCACTGGTGCATTTCGAGGTGAGGACGTGGTATAAGGCGCAGGGGGAGGTGGTGGATTCGAGAGGAGGGAGGAAAGACAGAATTGCAGTGGTGCATTTTGAGGTGAGGCGTTGACGGAAGGGGAGGGGGAGGCCAGGGGGAACGGACTGATTGTGCCCAGGGGGAACGGACTGATTGTGCCCAGGGGGAACGGACTGATTGTGCCTTTGTGTAGGGAGCTGCTGGTGCCGGGCTGGGTCTAGGGGGAAGGTGGTGGAGGGGGGAGGAGGGAGGGATAAACTCGCACTCGTGACTCCTTCCCCTGCGATCTTCTGGCCCCACAAGGTCCCTCTCATTGTGCTGCTCCTCTCTTCCCTTTTGGCTCCCGAGCTGTCTCCTTCCGTTACAGGTGCTTCTTCCCTCCACCACACCAGGTCCCCCTGAGCACGCTGCTCCTCTTGCTCTTCCGTCTTGGGGGCACAGCACATCGCAGGACTTTTGAGTCGACTCAAAAGTCACCTCTTTCTTCCCTTCACCACACCAGGTTCCCCTGAGCGCGCTGCTCCTCTTGCTCTTCCATCTTGGCCACAGCACATCGCAAGACCACACAACACCGCCCTCCCGCCCGTTCCTTCCCTTGTGTGTTACTCCTTCCTCCCCACCACACCAGGTTGATAGAATTGGAACTGAACTGATTGCTTGATAAGGAAGGCACTAGGCCTTAAGTACAAACAGGGTTGGGTTGAGCAAAGCTAGGGAAAGGATGGGATGGGAATCCTAGCAAATCTCCAATTGGTGAGTTGGCAGATTTGCAGGATTACGAGGGAATCCCAACCAGATAGGGTTGGGATTACAAATCTACATCCAACCTACAAAGTAACCTAACCGATATAGAATATAGTACAAAGTGTTGACTGACTATTTCTAACACACCCCCTAGGCTGACAACACTTCAGCCACATGGCGGCCCAACACCCATGGACGAGAGGAGGCGGTAGTGGTCTTGGCGAACAAGAGACTTGGTAAACAAGTCAGCAAGGTTGCAGTCGGAGGCAATGTGTTCAGCCTTCAGCTGCTCGCGCTGCACCAGCTCACGAAGAAAGTAGTGACGGACCTCAATGTGCTTGGTGCGGCCGTGGAAGACGGGGTCCTTTGTGAGATGAATGGTGTTCTCGTTGTCACACCAAAGCGTTGGGGCTGGTTGAGGATACCCAAGTTCTGCCAGCAAGAAGGAGAGCCAACGGGCCTCTTGGGCAGCCATGGTCCCGGCATACAGCTCTGCCTCACAGGTCGACAGTGAGACGGAAGACGACCGAGTGGAGCGCCAACTGACAACCCCACTGCCAAGGGTAAAGCAATATCCTTGGGAAGAGCGCCGATCACTCTGGTCATCAGCATAGGACGAGTCACTGTACCCCTCAAGGCGAACAGGGAAAGAGCCGCCAAGAGTGAGCACATAGTCCTGTGTGCCTTTGAGATAGCGGAGGACCCGCTTGGCGGCAGACCAGTGGTGGCTCGTGAAGCGACCAGGTGCAACGTAGCGAGACAGGACACTGACTAGATAGGCCAAATCTGGTCGAGTGCACATCATCGCGTACATGAGGGAACCGACGAGCTCGGGGTAAGCCTCATCACAGGGCTCAGGTGAGGGAACAGAGGGTGCAGTGAGTTGGTGCTGCAGAGAGAGTGGGGTGGGCATTGAAGCTGCTTCCTGCATCTTAAACCTGGTCAGAACGTTGTTGATGTAGAACTTCTGCGAGAGGGTGATGGTGCGGGCCGTGCGATCACGTGTGATTTCCATGCCCAGATAGTTCGTCAGTTTCCCAAGATCCTTCATAGCCAGCTTCTCACCAAGTGCGGTTTTGACTGCTGCCAGCTCAGTCTGATCCTTGGTGACAAGGATCATGTCATCGACATAAACCAAGATGAAGAAGCAGGATGGTGTTGCTCGGATGAAGAGGCTGGGGTCAGAGGTGGATGGGTGAAAGTCGAGGGACCCTAAGGTGCTCTTGAGCTTGTTGTGCCATTCCCGGGGTGCTTGCTTGAGGCCATAGACTGGTCGATTCAGCTTCCATACAGTGCCTGGTGGAAAAGGAGCTGGAAATCCTTCGGGCCGCTCCATGTAGATTTCCTCTCGAAGGATCCCTTGCAGAAACGCAGAGGACACATCCATGCAGTCAACCTCCATGTCATCTCGAGCGGCAACATCGAGAAGGGTGCGCAGTGTGGGAGGTTTGGCGGTGGGAGGGAATGTCTCAAAGAAGTCCAGTCCATGCTTTTGGGTAAATCCCTTGGCACAGTACCGGGCTTTGAAGACGGGAAATTCGCCTGGAAGTTGTTTCACCCGGAAAACCCATTTTCCCTTCACAATGTTGACGCCGGAGGGAGGAGAGACATCTGTGAAAGTTCCTGTGTGAATGAAGGCCTCACACTCTGCGACAATGGCCCCTAGCCATTGAGCGGCGTGAGGACCAGAAACTGCTTCAGCATAGGTGAGAGGTGTGGGGATGGAGGGGTTGTCCGAGAAGTCGAGGGTGGGAGATTCTGCGATATCTGGAAAGAGGGAGCAGAGTGCGTGTATGGCTGAGTCAATCTCAATCAACTCCTCATGTCTGTCCTCAAGAAGGGAGGGCATGAGCGAATAATCACCCCCGACAGGAGGAGGATTGAGAGAGACACGAATGGAAAGGGAAAGAGGCTTGGGAGCTTTGCGCGAGCGGGTGCGACCAGCGATGGGGGAGGGAGGCGGAGCTGGAGGGGGAGAAGCAGCAGGTGTAGTGGCAGCATCAGGAACAGCAGCTGGATCAGGAGCAGGAGCTGGATCAGGAGGAGGAGCTGGATCAGGAGGAGGAGCAGCAGCAGGAGGACGGCGTTGGTAGGTTTTGAGAGGAATGGGCTCGGGGGCGGGAAGGAGCGGGGGAGACTGCGTGGTGCTGGAAGGGGAAGCGGGTGACGGGGGGTCGGAAACTGTGGAGGGAGCAGGAAGAGGAGGAGATGGAGTGGTGGCAGGAGGAAGGCTGTCAAAGTCAGCCCAAGTAAGAGAAGGAGGCGGAGGAGAAGGAGAAACTGTGGAGGAGGGGTAGAACGGGTGGGATTCATCGAAGAAAACATCTCGGCTGCGATAAAGTTTGTTGGTGGTAGGATGGAGGAAGAGGTAGTCTGGCGAGTCCGAGTTGTGTCCGAGGTACACGCACGTGATTGTTTTCGGAGCAAGCTTGCCGCCAGCTGCACGACGGGCTTGGGAGTTGAGGAGAACATAGGAAGTGCACCCCCATACACAAAGAGGGCGGACGGACGGCTTTTGACCCGTCCACAGCTCTGCGGGGGTGGTGTGGGTGTGGTGAGGATGAGGATGGAGATTGTGGAGGGCGGCAGCATGGAGCATGGCGTATCCCCAAAGAGAGGGAGGGGCGGAAGCATGAGTGAGGAGGCAGCGAGCAATCTGCACTAGGATGCGGTTTCGGCTCTCAGCAACACCGTTCTGTTGAGGGCTGTCTGGGAGGGTGAAAGTCTGACGAATACCCTCAGTAGAGCAGAAAACTTTGAGAGTGTTGTTGCGGAATTCACCGCCACCGTCAGAGTGAAGAATCTTGATTTTGGTTTTGAAGTGTGAATGAGCCTGCCTTGCCCATTCCATGATAATGGCTGGGGCTTCAGACTTGGCGGTGAGAAGGTGAACGGACACATAGCGGGAATAGTCATCAACGATGACAAGGAAGTAGAAGTGTCCGCCACGGGAACGAACAGGAGCTGGACCCCAAAGGTCCATGTGTACGCGATCAAGAGGTGCGGTAGAGGTGGACTCAGTGGGAGGATGGGGCTGTTCCCGAAGCTTGCTCTGTGCACAGTCAAGGCAAGGTGGTCCAGAAAGAGAGGGGGGTTGTGGAAGTGAGGCGGGCAGCCCATGAAGGAGTTGTTTGGTGGCAAGGTCTGAAAGTGCGCGGAAGTTGATGTGGCCGAGGCGGTTATGAAATAGCATAGTCTTGTCATTGAGGAGGCGGCATTGACATGAGGGGGAGTCTGAGGATGGAAGCGGAAGGTTGGTGAGGGAGCATGTTTGAACGGGAGGTACAACTAGTGTGTACAGGTTGTTGGAGTTGAGGGTGAAGCGGACAAGATGGAGTCCGGTTTTGGCGTCAAACATGTCACAGTAGTCAACATCATTGGGAAAGATGGTGATCACGCCTGCGTGTTGGATTTCCCGCTGTGCAAGAAGGTTGTAGCGGAGGGTAGGGGCACAGATGCCAATGACTGTGCCGGATGGGAAAGCTGGACAGGAAACTGTGGAGGACCCATGGCATTGGATGGAGAAGCTAGAATCGGCTCCAAGGAGTGAGGTGGGAGCCTGCTAGGGAACGAAGGCAGTTTGGTCTTTAAGCACTGTGTGGGTGGCACCACTGTCTAGTATGAACTCAATTCCCTGTGTGGTTGAAACACCGATGTACTGCGACCCCTTCTCATTAAGAAGACCAGCACCAGAGAACAACAGGTTAAGGCGAACATCAGATGGGGCACTAGCAAATGCCTGAGCAGGTTCCTCCACTGCCTCGACCTGGTTCACGCGACGGGGTGGTGCCCAGTTGGGAGGGCGCTTGTCCTTGGAGACACCGTGGACGTCATACCACTCGTCATCTCGCTTCTTGAAGCAAGTTGCCTCAGGGTGGTTGGTGCCGTTGCATTTCTGCCCCGCACGTGGACCCTTCCTAATGAGGTACTGGCATGGGGGAAAGGAGTTGCGCCTCTGGCCCTGCTGGGAACGAAATGGGATGCCAGGGGAGTAGCGCACAGCATTGACGGATGCCTGGGCTGCAAGGTCCTTTTCGGCAGAGAGAAGGGCCGAAGCGACTTTCTCGAAGGTGAGTTCCTTGGTGGGGAGCTGCTTGAGCATGGAAGTGGTGACGTTGTAGGCCGGGGTGAGTCCGACGAGAAGCCCAGCAGCAGGTGCTTGTTCGGGGAAGGTGATCCCAATGTCCTTGAGCTCCTCATGGATGTTGCGGATTTCAGAGATGTAGTCTGCCATGCCCAGGCATTCCTCAAGGCGGATTTGGAACATGCGAGGAATGAGGATTGCAACTCCCACGGCAGTTTTGTCATGAAAGCGATTCTGGAGGTACTTCCAAATGTCATGCGCAGAGCGGAAGGTGCGGTAGGACTTGACTAACTCGACTGGGGTGGTGGTGATGAAAACCCTAATCACTGCCGCATCCGCCTGCTCCCAGAGACTGAAGTCCGTCTCATACTTGGTGGTTTTAGCGTCGAAAGCAAGCTTGGCTGTGGCAGTGGCGCCTTCGCCGAGAGGATCGGGAGGGAGAGGCATCTTCCCCTTGCCGCGATTAAGGAGGATGTCCTTGAGGCAAATCCCCTTGAGCTCCGAGCTAAGGAGGTGCTTCTCCACTCCATAGCACCACTCTCCGAAATTGGTGCTCGTGCCGTTGGGAGCGAGGTTAAGGATGATGAGGTTTCCGACGAGAGTGGAAGTTGAAGTTGCCATTTCGCGCGGAGCGCAGCGCTAAAGTCTCCGATACGTAGCGGAGCGGAGTTCGGGTGATTTTGGAAATTGAGGAAGTTCGAAACGCGATTTTGGCAATAGAATGCCCGTACTATACCCTGATATACTGCTTCGCCAATGCCCCCTGTTCTGCTTCGCTGCTGCCCCTGTTCCGCTTCTCTGCTGCGCCGCTGACCTGTTCCGCTGCGCCGCTGGACCTGTTCTGCTGCGCCGCTGAACCTGTTCCGCTGCGCCGCTGAACCTGCTCCGCTGCGCCGCTGAACCTGTTCCGCTGCGCCGATGAAAACTTGTTCCGCTGCGCCGCTGAAAACCTGTTCGAAGTTAAGAAGATGCGAAAATTGCCACGGAGATATAAAAACCAGAAGCTTACGATGAAGGAAGTCGAAAGCTGAGAATGTCGCCGTTGAAAAACGAGATGCGCGATGAAGGAAGCCGAATGCGCGCTTGACCGGAGCGACGATGTGAAGTTTCTGAAAAACGCTAAGCGTAGGAGCCGGGAACCGAAATAGGCATAGCCTAAAAGGAGAGAACCATCGGGACGCCAAGGATCGGATTCCGCGTGAGCGGAATTTACTAGCTCGATACCATGATAGAATTGGAACTGAACTGATTGCTTGATAAGGAAGGCACTAGGCCTTAAGTACAAATAGGGTTGGGTTGAGCAAAGCTAGGGAAAGGATGGATGGGAATCCTAGCAAATCTCCAATTGGTGAGTTGGCAGAATTGCAGGATTACGAGGGAATCCCAACCAGATAGGGTTGGGATTACAAATCTACACCCAACCTACAAAGTAACCTAACAGATATAGAATATAGTACAAAGTGTTGACTGACTATTTCTAACACAGGTCCCCCTGAGCGCGCTCCTGATCTTGCTCTTCCGTCGTGCATCACACACAGCAGGACCAGGACGCCTCCCCCCCTCAGCATGGCACAGCATAGCCCCCATCTCCCCTCCCTCCCTTCCTCCCACTAGGTCCCGCTCAGCGCGCTCCTCATCCTGCTCTTCCGCCTCGTGCACCGCGCACAGCAGGAACAGGACGCGTCCCCTGCTGACATCAGCGCCAGCGTTGCAGGGGTGGGGGAAGGGGAGGAAGCAGCGGAGGAGCTCTCAGTGGGGCTGTCGCTCCTTTCTCACCTGCTATCAGCTAATCAGGTGCGTCTCTTTCCCTGTCCTGTCAGGCGCACTTCTGAGTAAGCCACAATCATGCCGAGCCACAGCCACATCCATGCCGAGCCACACCAATGCCGAGCCACATCCATGCCGAGCCACACCCATGCCGAGCCACACCAATGCCGAGCCACACCCATGCCAAGCCACACCCATGCCAAGCCACACCCATGCCGAGCCACACCTATGTTCTGTCCTCCCATTCGTTTTCCCTCCTCCCATTTCTCCTCGTTCTTTCTTTTCCCCCCTATTCCCATATTTCCCCTCCTCCCATTCCTCGGCCATGAGGCTTGTGTGGGGGCACTCGTGCATTTCCACTCCTCGCCCTCTTTCCCCTGTAGCTGTCCTTCCTCTCCCTCACTCCCACTCTATCATTCCCACTCTTCCCATCTGTTCTTCCCCTCTCTCCCTCCCCCCCTTCCCTACCCATCAGGCGTGTGTGGGGGCACTCCTGCATCTCCAATCCTCTCCCCTCATTACATCTGCGTCGGCCAATGGGCTGCTGCCACGTGGCATGACGTACGTGTGGTAACCAGAACCCGGCGTCTGCCCACGTTTGCACTTTTTTGTTCTCCGAATGAAGACTGGTTGCTTTTCGTGTCACTTCTCTTATTCTCCTCCTAATATGAAACTCACTCTGTGCGTTCAGTGTAGGTTCCTTCGTTCCGCCTTTTGTTTTCCTTCTTTTCTTTCCATGTGATTCAACACTTTCTCCCTTCCTTCCCTGCCCATTTCTCCCCTTAAATTTCCAGATTGGACCCCACTGCGCTCATCACAGCCATACTGGATGGCCTCCTCTCCTCCCCTGCTCTCTCTGCCCCCTCCTCCTCTTTTTCCTCCTCCTCGTCCTCCCCTTCTTCCTCCTCCTCCACCTCCCACTCACCATCTGCTGCAGTGTCACTGACCTCTGCTGCCTGCTGCCTGCGAATACTCGCTGCCTTTGCTCTCCTGTGAGTGCACTCCCTCGTCCCTACCTCCTCACTCCGCTCCACTCTCACTTCTCTTCATTATTACATCTTCTCTCACTCGTTGTCCTCCTCTGTATTTTCAATACACAACGCCGTTCTTTTTTTGAGTCGACTCAAAAATAGGCCTTCCTCTGTATTTTCAATACACAACGCCGTTCTATACTTTCGTCAACCTTTGTTTATTCATCCCCCATTCCACTCTACCATCTGCTTCTTAACTGCATCTCTCGCTCTCCTATGCTATGCCCTTCCTTTCGTAATCCCTCCCTCCCTCTCTCCTCCCCTTCCTCCTTCCCCACTCTCAACCCTCCCTCTCATCCCCTCCTTCCCTCTCTCTCCCCTCTCCTCCCTCCCGCAGCCATCCTGAGCGGGTTGCTGCTGCGCTCTCCTCCTCCATCTTCTCCCCATCAGCCCTATCCTCCGACCTCCAACTGTACGTATTATTGCGGGTAGAGCGAAGACTTTTATTCGAGGCGCCTCAAAAATAGACTCCCCGACAGCCCTACCATCCCAACTGGGCGTTTTCCTCAAAGCTGTGCATAAGCCCGCCTACCTGCTGTCAAACAAATCCACTGATTGCCATCCCTTCCTGTCCTCGCCATATCTTTCTCCGAATGACATTCCTCACATCGATCTTTCTCCGAAATCTCCTCCATGTCCTCACCATATCTCTCTCTAAATGACGTTCCACACATCGATCTTTCTCTGCTCTCTCCCTCCTCCCCTGCTCCCTGTCCACCCAACCCGCTTCTGTTCCCAGCCAATCAGGGCCTGCCACGAGTCCTCTGCACCTGCTGTGCTTCCAGATCGAGCAACCACTGGGAAGCTTCCCATTCACTCTTGCAGGTAACCCTCGTTCCTCCTTGCCTTCTCTATAGCAACCATTGTGTGCGACGTGTCACTATACGCTTCCCTCCCTCACCTTAGCTAGTGCCAGCACTGGTACCAAGTGACACGTCGCACAGCTTTTCCTTTCCATGTGTCAGCTTTTCCTTTCCATGTGTCAGCTTTTCCTTTCCATGTGTCAGCTTTTCCTTTCCATGTGTCGGCTTTCCCTTTCCATGTGCCAGCTTTTCCTTTCCATGTGTCAGCTTTTGAGGCGCCTCAAATGTGTCATATGTGGAGTCTGGAGTCTGGTCGTGGCACATGCCCTAGTGATGCAGGGAGGGAGTGAGAGGAGCGTTTATGAAACATGGCTGAATCCTCAAATGTGTCGATCTCAAACCCTGCCCTCCTCCTTTCCGCACGCAGCTCTGGAGTTGGCACAGCCGCTGGTGAAGCAGGGAGTGACAGGAGGGCCGGTGCCGGAGTCTGGAATAACATGGATTGGAGTCTCATAACTTGCATGTTTACCTTGCACATGGCATGTGCCACTTGGCAGCTTTGGACCTGGCAGCAGCGCTGGTGAAGCAGGGAGTGAGAGGAGGGTGTAGGAAACAGATCACCAGCTCACCAGCTCACCAGCTCACCAGCTCACCAGCTCAAATCTCCTCAACCCGTCCCTGTGCTTTTCCACATTGGCAGCTCTAGACCTGGCGGCTGCACTGGTGAAGCAGGGAGTGAGAGGAGGGTGTAGGAAACAGCTCACCAGCTCACCAGCTCACCAGCTCACCAGCTCACCAGTTCACCAGCTCACCAGCTCACCAGCTCACCAGCTCACCAGCTCACCAGCTCACCAGCTCACCAGCTCACCAGCTCACCAGCTCACCAGCTCAAATCTCCTCAACCCGTCCCTGTGCTTTTCCACATTGGCAGCTCTAGACCTGGCGGCTGCACTGGTAAAGCAGGGAGTGAGAGGAGGGTGTAGGAAACAGCTCACCAGCTCACCAGCTCACCAGCTCACCAGCTCAAATCTCCTCAACCCAACCCGTCCCTGTGCTTTTCCACATTGGCAGCTCTAGACCTGGCGGCTGCACTGGTGAAGCAAGGAGTGAGAGGAGGGTGTAGGAAACAGCTCACCAGCTCACCAGCTCACCAGCTCACCAGCTCACCAGCTCAAATCTCCTCAACCCAACCCGTCCCTGTGCTTTTCCACATTGGCAGCTCTAGACCTGGCGGCTGCACTGGTGAAGCAGGGAGTGACAGGAGGGCCCGTGCCGGACCTGCTGGGGTTCGCAGTGATGGAAGTGACGCCCAACTATGGGGCGTGGCGCATGGAGGAGGGCAGGGAGCGTTGGCACATGGCAGGGAAGGTGAGAAAGAACCAAACATCTATGTGGCGTATTCGTATACGTGCTGGGGTTTGCAGTGATGGATGTGATGCCGAATGACGGGGCGTGGCGCATGGAGGATGGCAAGGAGCGATGGCACATGGCTGGCAAGGTACGGTCGCATCCGCATCCTGTATATCCTCCATCCATCTTTCCATTCTTTCCCTCGTCCCCATGTTTCCCCCCTCCAACTCTTCCTCCCTCACCATTCAAGCCCTCCTTCCATCCACCCAACCTTAACCCCTTTCTCACTCCCACACAACCCCCCTTCCCTGTCACCCCCCCGTGCTCCCCCACTCCCAGCTTTCTCGCCTCCTCTCCCTCACTCTCTCTCTCGCCCCCTGGGCCGCCTCCTCTCTCCTCCGCTCCACACACTCGCTCCTGGAGGGGGGAAGTGGCCAAGGAGGGGGAGACAACTGGGAGGAGGAGGAGGAAGAGCAGGAGGAGAAAGAAGTTACAGAGGAGAGAGGGGAGTACATGCGGAGGGAGGGGTGGCAGGAGGAGGCAGGAGCGTATAAGAGAAGCAGAGTCGGGGTCGGAATGTGGAGCAGTAGCAGCAGCAGCAGTGCTGGTGGCAGCAGCAGCAGCAGCTTCAGTGGTGGTGGGAGCGGCAGCAGTGAGACATTCAACCCCTACTCCTCCTCCGCACCATCCGCACCACCAGCCCCACCCTCGTCCCCCTCCACAGCCTCGGCTCTCGCTTCCAAGCTGCTCCACCTGTTGCTCACCGATGCACGCATCTCCGCGGCCCTGCTGGCGCCACTGCAGTCGGCGCTGCTTGTGCTGCAATGCAGGGCTTCTCAGGAGGGCTCTGAGGAGAGCCACACCTGTGCTGAAGAATCGGTGTTGGGTTCTGAATCGTCAGAGCAGTCGGCGGCGCTGCATCATGGTCTAGAGCTGCTCACCGTGTGCATTCGCCTCAAGCCCTTCTGCCATGCTGCTGCTGATGCGGTGAGTGAGCTTCTCACCCTGTGCCCCTCATCCTCTCTGCTTTTCTCTTCTCTCTGTTGCTTCCCTCTCTCTCACGCCTTGCCCCTCTCCAACTTGGAGCTGCTTCTCCTCTCCTCCTCCGCACTTCTCCCCTCTCATCTCAACCCTCTCTCTCCCCCTTCTCTTCTCACCCCTCCTCTCTTTCTTTCCCCTCACTTCCCCCTCTCTCTTTCCGCCTGCAGCCCCTTTCCCCCTTGGAGTCGCTTCTCCTCTCCTCCTCCGCGCGCCTCCCCTGGCATCTCATGCCACTCACCCCGTCAGCACCGCCAGCGCTGGACTCTGCAGGAGCTGCCGCAGACGCTGCTTTAGCAAGAGCAGCAGCAGCAGCAAGAGGAGGAGGAGGGGGAGAGGGACCAAGGGCAACCATGGGACTTGACTCAGTTCCGCTGGTGACGGGGCTTGCTGCACTGATAAGCCTTGGCCAGTCACAGGTGTGCGGATTTTGGAGGTGTGCGGATTTTGGAGGTGTGCGGATTTTGGAGGTGTGCGGATTTTGGAGGTTTGGCGGATTTTGGAGGTTTGGCGGATTTTGGAGGTTTGGCGGATTTTGGAGGTTTGGCGGATTTTGGAGGTTTGGCGGATTTTGCAGGTTTGGCGGATTTTGCACTTCCTTTGCGTGTCATGTGCAAGCAAGTGCTGGATTGCTTGTGTCACGAGGAAAAACGCTCAGTGACACTGGTGAGCGGTTTCTTTCACCCATCTACTCCCTCCACCCCTTCCCTTGCAGGCTCTACGCCGTGCCTCGCTCACCTTCCTACACACGCTCTGCACCATCACAGCTCGCATCAGACCACACCTCCTCGTCCTCTCTTCCTTCTTCTCCCAACCCGCTGCCAAACCCATTGTGAGCTCATCCTAGGGGCTTCGGATTTAGTTGGATGGTAACGTAACCTGGTATATATATATATATTGGTTCTGCTGTGCACTCTGTACGTGTTTTGATTCTAACACAATTCATTCTGTTTTTATTTACCGTTTGTCAACCGTGGCTCGTTCCCTCTCCTCCTGCTTGTCTCTTCTGCATCTCCTTTCCACTCCTGTCCCTTTCTGCTGAACTTATCCCCATGGAATCTCGCCTTCTGACGATGCTCCCACATCCCTGTTTTTATCTCTCTCAACTTCCCCATCCAACCGCACCCCTTCCCACCCCCCACCACACCCCTCCTTGCAACCCCCCCTCTATGACCCTTCTTCCTCTTTACCACCCACATTTCCCCCTCTCCCTGCCCTCCTCCGCCTTTCCCCTTGCTTCGCAACCTTCCCCCCGCCCACCTTCCCCCCGCCCCACCTTCCCACCCCACGCAGCTCCACAGCCTTCAGATCGCTGTGGATCGCATCCTGGCCGTTGAATCAGCCCGCATCAGTGCATCAGCACCGTCAAAATCAGCGCCCTCATCCTCCTCCGCACCCTCATCCACTCCCTCATCTGGCCTCTTCGTTCCCTTGCTTCAACTGCTCACTCGAGCTGCACACTCACAAGTAAGCGCCTCTCTAATTATTGAGACTCTTTTGAGGCGCCTCAAAAGTCGTCTCTTGAGGTGCCGCAATGCTCAATACTCAATGCTCAATGCTCAATGCACAATGCTCAATGCTCAATGCACAATGCTCAATGCTCAATGCACAATGCACAATGCACAATGCACAATGCACAATGCTCAATGCTCAATGCACAATGCTCAATGCTCACTGCACACTGCACTTTCTAACATAAGCGCCTCTCCAAATCTTTCACTTGCTGTCCCTTCCGCACTTCAACTATCTAGCACCTGCTTTCACCAACTCTCACCTTTCTCAACCTTTCTCAACCACTCTCCTCGTCCCCACACCCCTCCCCTGTGCAGCCTGAGTTTCTCCATCAGCTCCTTCTGGCTGAGCATTCCAGCCGCCACTCTTCCAGCAGCAGTGCCACCACCACCACCACCAATGGCACCAGCAACAACAACACCAGCACAGATAAACAAGCGGCAACAGCAGCAACTAGTGGATGTAGCAACATAAAGAAAGAAAAGAACCTGACACCTCGGGCTGTGGCCAACATGGATAGACTCCTCGCTCTGCTGTCTGCACGCCCTTCTCTCATGGCTGCGTGAGTCTTCACTCTTATCCTCCCCTACCGTCTCTTATCGTTTCTCCCATATGCCTATGAATTCCTCCCTACCCTTCTTACACCCCCCCGCACCCACCCCCAACGCCCCCACCCCCTTGCATTCCTGTTCTGTCTCTCTTCCACTCCCTTCCCCATCCAAATTCCTGACTCACAACTTTCCCTCCTCCTCCGCCTTCCTCCCAACTCCTTGTTCTTCTCCTCTGTTTTTTTCCTCTGATCCCCCCTTGTTCCAGCCATCCCATGCAGCTCTGTCTACTCCTGCGCCTCCTCTGCTCCATCTGGCGCTCCTCCTCCCCTCCCCTCCTCCCTCTCCTCCTCCACCTCCGCTCCAAACCCACTCTCTGGTCCTCCCTCTCCTCCATCCTCCATTCATCCCCTTCCCCTCCCTCCCCATCCCCCTCCGCACTCCCCTCTCCCCCCTCGCTCTCCTCACTCTCCCCTCCCCTCGACGCCCACTCGCCGTCTGCTGACGTGGAATACGCCCCTGCTGAGCTGGCACGAGCTGGCTGGCGCTGGCGCTGCCACGCTGTCGTGCTGCGCCTCGTCTCCCTCGACCTGTTCCTGGAAAAGAAGCTTCCTGGAAAATACTCAGCTGTAAAAGGGACAGCATCAGCAGCAGCAACAGGGGCGCGGATGCTGCTGTTAGAGACTTGTCCTGGGATGAATATGGGGATGCTGGGTAGTGCGAGTGGGAGAGGGGGAGGGGGAGGGAGTGTGGGAGGGCTGGGAGGAGGGTGGAAGGGAGGAGAGGGGGTGGGGTTGGTGGGGGAACTGGTGGGGGTGGTGGAGGGAGGGGGGCGGCTGTGGGGCGACATGTGGCAAGCTTGGAGCAGCGGCCAGGTGAGCAATCCTCCCGCAGGGTGTTTCTAAGATAGTGCAGGGTGTTTTAGAATCTGAGTAACTGCATAATGTTTTTGAGAAAATGCAGGGTGTTTCTGAGAAACTGCATGGGGTTTTTGAGAACTCTCCCCAACCCCTCCCTACTCCTTCATCCCCTGCCTCCCCTCCTTCCATCTCGCCAGCTGGCATGCAAGCTGCTGGCGGCTGTGCTGATGTGGCGGGTGGCCGTTGGTGATGTGGAGGGGATGAGCCTGCGACTGTTAGAGCAGATCCAATCCGTCTCCTTCGAGGTACCTTCCTTCTTGCCTTCCTTCTTGCCTTCCTTCTTGCCTTCCTTCTTGCCTTCCTTCTTGCCTTTCTTCTTGCCTTCCTCCTTTCCATACTCACCATGCCTACACGCCATGTCATGCTCACTGTTCTCTGAGCTCGTCTCATTCCCTTAATTCTGTATGCTATTCCCGTTCCCCCCCTTCCCCTCTCACTCTCTCATTGCCCTTATTCCAATTGCCGCAACTCCCCGCCCCATTTCCCCGTTCCTTCCCCACTCCTGCGTTCAGTTCTTTTCACACCCACTCTTGCAGCAGCTACACCATCAGCTCACCTCTCACCCTTCCTTCCCTCCCCCTTTCGATTCCCTTCCTCCCCCCTCTTCCCCCCACGTGTGCAGTTTTTCTCACACCCGCTCTTGCAGCAGCTACACCATCAACTCACCTCCCACCCCAATCAACTCTCCTCCAATCATTTCTCCCCTCACTACCACCACCCCTACCCCTCTGACTGGAAGCCCGCTCTCCTCTCTGCCCTCTGCTCCTCACTCTCCTCTCAACTACCCTCCTCCCTCTCCTCTCTCTCCTCACTCTCCTCCCTCCTCTCCTCCACTTCCCTCCTCGCCTCCTCCACCTGCTCCCTCACACCCTCCTCCTCTCTCTCCTCCTCCTCTCTTGCCATAGCCGAACGCTGCCTGGACTCGGTGGAAGCTTCCGGGAAGCTTCTGCGGGCTCTGGCAGGGGCAGCAGGGGCAGAGGTAAGAGTGGGGGGCTTGCTGGGAGGAGGGTTGGAGTCAGGAGGAGGGACAGCAGCAGGAGGAGCAGCAACAGGAAGGGAAGCAGGAGGGGAAGCAGGGCAAGGACAGGGAGCAGCAGTAGCGAGGGTAGAGTGGTTAGAGACCATTGCGTGCAGCATGAGCACTGCCTTTTTCCCACGCAGCCTCACCTCCTCTGCTGGTCTTCGTTCCTGGGGAAGCAGCGACAGAAGCAGCAGCAGCAGCAGCAGCAGCAGTGGTGGTGGTGGCAGTGGTGGTGGTGGTGGTGGTGGTGGTGCGAGTGAGAAACCGTCTCTTGCCGTGGTGGCAGCAGCAGCAGAGGCGTGTTTGGTGGCAGATGGGTTCCTGTGGCAGGCAGGGGGGCTGCTGGGAGCAGCACGGGATGCAGGAAACGTGCTGGCAGTCAGCAGTGGGGGAGGACTGAGCGGTACAGATGGGTTTCATGGCGTTGCGGTGGGTTCGGAGGATCCCTGGGCGGTGCAGTGCGGTGCAGATGGGTCGACTGCGGTTGAGCCCTCTTTTCTTGAAAGCACCATCAGTGATCTCTCATCCTCGCTCCTCGCAGCTTGCTCCTCTGTCCTCCCTCTCCCGCCATCCTCGCCCTCCTCCCCTCCTCTCCCCTCCCCTGCTGCCTATCTCTTCTCCTCCTCACGCCTCCTCCTCCTTTTAATCACCCGCTGGACCCACCACCATAAGCAGGAAATTCTGGGGAAGCTTCCTGGTCAAGAAAGTCAACAGGGCTTCTTAGAATCCGTTTCCTCTTTTGCCTCGACCCTTGTGAGAAGGCTCATGGAAGCTTCCCGGAAGCTGATGGATGCTGAGCTGGCAGAGCTCGTGGGGCCGTGGCCCGCCGTGTCGACACTTGACAGCCTCCTATCGGTCCTGCAGCTGATCCACATCATGCTGACCTCAGAACAGAGGAGAAGCAAGTTACCAGGTTCCTCCGCCACACCCGCCACCGTCTCCCTGCTACAAGACAAAACAGCTGACGTCACAGTGGTACTTTCCGAGAACCTTCCTGTGCTCCTCGAAGCAGCTTCCTCGAACATCCAAGGAGACACGCAGGGGGGATCCATCAGCGCGTCAGACGCTTCCAGGAACCTTCCGATGCAAGCTCTAGCAGTGGTGGAAATAGCCCTGAGGTGCTTCCTCTCCCCCCTCACATGGCGACCCCTGGTATCCGCCCATCTCTCCCTCCCCTCCCTCCTCTCCTCCACACTCCAGTACCGCCCACCACTCTCACACGCAGCAGCCGCCGCCGCAGCAGCAATTGGGAACACCACATGGGACGGAGCAGTCACATATTCCTCTCTCTCCTCTCTCTCCTCTCTCTCCTCTCGTGCCTCTTGCTCCTCTTGCTTCTCTCGCTCGGCATCTGCGCGAGCTGTTCTCAGCCTCTGTCTCACCCTCTCATCCACGCGTGAGGGCGCAGATCTCCTCCTGGCCGTGGGATTCCTGCGCCACGTCAGCACCATCACCAACGGCCTGCCACCTCACGCCCACCTCACCGTCGGCCCTTTCCAGGAAGCTTCCGCCACCTTTGGCGGGATGTATGCTGATAGGGGGGGTTCGGAATTTTCTACAGCAGCAGCGGCGGCGGCGGCGGCGGCAGCAGCAGTAGCGGGTTTAGCAGGGAGGGTAGCAGGAGGAGCAGGGGTATGGGAGGGACGGGTGGGTGTGAACGGGTATGCCACAGGTCAAAATAACGATCAGGATGACAGAGATTATATCGGATATGATACTAGATTTGATATGGATCATGAGGAGGAGAGTGCTTCAGTGCGTGAGGCGTGGGAACTTTGGTCTCTTGCTCTCACTGTCACCACTTGCATGTTCCGTGCCCTCCTCCCTCCCCCTTGTCTCTCCGACTCCCTCGCTCTCGCCTCCTCCTCCGGTCTTCCTTTCTCACTCTCCCCCTCCTCTGCCTCCCCCTCTCTCTCTTCCACTGCTGCAAGACTCGCCCTTGACTTCCTCTCCTTCCAGCTCCCCTCCCTCTTAGCCGCCCTCTCCTCTCCTCTCCACCCCTCCCGCTCTCTCCTCTCCCTCTCAACCCCCACACCCCCCTCCTCCTATGCCTCCTCTCTCCTCTTCCCCCACCCCTCGTTACAATCACAATCAACACAGTCACGAGGGCACCAATCCAAAAAGCGCCATCAGCTAATTACAAGCCTATCCGCCCTCCAATCCACCAACCGTGTTCTCTCCCTCCTCTGCCAAACCTCCCAGCAACTCCTCCCCACACTCCCCTCCTCCCCATCCCCTCTCCAATCCCCTCCCCTCTCCCCCAACCTCTCTTCCGATCTCTCCGCCTCATGCTCTCTCCTCCTGGCTTTCATTGCTCGCGAGGGGCTGGCGAGGCCTGTGGGGGGGGCGAGCAGCATAGTGTGTCATATGAGTGGGAGGGAGGAGGCAGCAGCACATGCACGGCCTGCCACTGTGGGGTGCCATAAGGGCTGGTTTGCTGTCACGGCTAGAGCTACTGCCGCTGCTTCTGCTGCTTCTGCTGCTGCTGCTGCTCGCCGTGAGACCTCTCATCCTGCTTCAGCCGCTGCTGCTGGTACTGGTACTGGTGCTGCTGCTGGTGCTGCTGCTGGTGTCGCTTCTGGTGCTGGTGGTGCCAATGCATCACCAGCAGGAGCTGGTACTGGAGCCACAGCTGCTGGAACCACAGGTGGTGCTCAATCTCTTTCCTTGGGAACACCAGCAGCGGCAGGAGGAGCAGCAGCAGCAGCAAGCACACCCGCTACAGCCGCTACAGCTGCTACAGTCGGCACCACTCCCTCTGCTGCTGCCCTCTTCCCTCCTTCCCCTACTCTTACAGGCAAAGGCGTTAGCCCTACGGGTCAACCTGAGGGAATCAAATCTGGGACGCTTAAAGTAGCTTCTACCTCCCCAGCTACACCCCAGTCCCCTCTTATTAGCACACCTGGTACAAGCACAGGCATGGCGGGAGGTTTGGGCCTCTGGGGTGCGAAGGGGCAACAGGGGCAGGCTGGGTTCGGAGCAGGTTCGGCAGGGCAAACCAAGCCTGGAGGTTCGGCAGCGGGTGGGAAGACCGGACTGGGGGTAGGAGACGGGAAGGGAGGAGGAGCGGGCGGCGTTCGTCGGCTGCATTCGGAGTACACTGACACTGTAGCAATCGAGGTGTACTCGCTCGCTCTGCGCTCCCTTCACTTCCTCACTTCCCTCCTCCGCAGATATTTTCCCTCAGCCGCTGACATGGCAGGGGGGTGTGCTGACGTGGCAGGGATGCAGCAGTGGGGAGGGAGGGGGGTTGGGGGAGGGGAAGTAGGAGAAGGGGTGTGGATGGGAGGGTTTGGCGGAGGAGTGATGGCAGGGGTAATGGGAGGGGCGGCATCAGCAGTGGTGGTGATTGGGGAAGGTGCGCCGGTGCTGCCAGCACCAGAGGTGCTACATGGTCTAGAGGTGAGCTCTCAATGCTTCTGCTGCAGTGCAGTTTTGTGTCGAGGTGCCTCAGAAGTTAACATCGATGCTGCTGCAGTGCAGTTTGTTGTTGGGAGTTGTGAGTTGGTGCTTTGGTGTGTTGACCCTAAACCCCAAAGCTTTGGTGCGTAGCGTGGAAGGTGGGCCTGAATCTGTTTTTTTTAGAATTTTCAAAAAACAGTGTCAGTGGTGGTGTTGCCACTCCACTCAACCCTTCTGCCTCCACCTCCTCCCTTCCTTTCTTTCCTCTTCTTCTTTCTCCCTTCCACTCCTTCCCACCCACTCGTACTCACCAGGACCAAGCAGTGGCAATCATTCTAGACATTCTCGCATCTGCAGACCAAACCAACAACCACCACCCCTCCTCCTCCTCCACCCCAAACCAACCCCCCGCCAACCCACCCACCCTCAACCCCTCCTCTCCTCTCCGCCCCACCACCCTCTTTGGAAACCCCAGCCTCTCCTCCTCCCCTCTCACCCGCTCCTCCCCCTCATTCCCCTCCTCCTCCTCCCCCTCCTCCTCTCTCTCGTCCTCCTCTCTGCCGCCCGCCCGGCTGGCGGTGTGTCGGCTGCTTCTGGGGGTGCTGGTGCGGGCGCTGGCAGTGGAGGTGGCGTTGGTGCGGCTAGTGGGTCCCACCATGCTTCCATCTGCCCTGAGGCTCGACGACTTTGATGCTGCCGTGCAGCTCATAGTGCAAGGTGAGAGACGGACAAGGTAGAGTGGACTCACTTGTCGCATCTGGGGGTGCTGGTGCGAGCGCTAGCAGTGGAGGTGGCGTTGGTGCGACTAGTGGGTCCCACCATGCTGCCCTCTGCTCTGAGGCTCGACGACTTTGATGCTGCCGTGCAGCTCATAGTGCAAGGTGAGAGACAGGAATTCTAGTAGCAGCAGAAGAGGGTTTGAGGCGACTAGGTTCTTTCTTCTGGGGGCGCTAGCAGTGGAGGTGGCGTTGGTGCGGCTAGTGGGTCCAACCATGCTTTCTTCAACCCTTCGCCTTGACGATTTCGACGCTGCCGTGCAACTCATAGTGCAAGGTGGGTGGGTGGAGAGACACAGTAGCTTGTTCTGGCCTGGGGGTCCAACCATGCTTCCTTCGGCCCTTCTCCTTGACGACTTTGACGCTGCCGTGCAACTCATAGTGCAAGGTGAGTGGGTGGAGAGACACAGTCAACGATGATATGACAGTGCACACTGCAAGGTGATATTATGGAGAAGCTTATAATGCAGGGTGAAAGCCAAGGTAACAGAGCGGTAGAGTAGAAGCCTGCCAGTTTGAGGTGACCTTTGAGTAGACTCAAAAGTCATCTTGAGAACCAAGGTAACAGAGCGGTAGAGTATAAGCCTGCCAATTTGCCGAACGCGTCTCTATTTCTGTCGTAGAATGATGTCGTAGCATGCAAGTGGGTCAAATGCGTCTCTTTTCCTGACACCTCCACCCTCTGTTGACTTGTTTTTCTCATCCCGCAGCGGCAGGAAGGGAGCCATTGATCCAGTCGGATGTGGAGGCGGTGGTTGCACTAGTCGGCACTCTCGCCCACCTGTCGTAGCATGCCTGCCCTCCATGTGAAGTTTTGTTGGTGAACAAGCCCTTTGATCACATAACCTCCCTCATCCCAACTGTTGGCTTTCAGCTCACCTTACACTTTCACAAAATAATACATGCCCCATATATTAGCCTTACTGTGCTGCTTGGAGATGCAAGCAACCTGAGCTAGCGCTCAGTCTCAGAAACAGTACATTCTAGAGCAGGTTGGAGTCAGACGGTTTCCATGCTGCTTTGGTGGGAATGGTTCAACAAGGTTCACCCTCCACACAACCAACAACAAAACGTGCTCAGCAGGACTCGAACCTGCGCGGGCAGAGCCCAACAGATTTCTAGTCTGTCCCGTTAACCACTCCGGCATGAGCACACATTTTTCCATTAAACCAAAGTTATTATAAACGTATACATCACAAAACACCCAAGCCGTGTCCTTATTCGTGCTCCCACTACCATGGATTGGCATCGGCAGTTCCCGCTTCTCGTAGCCGTGCTGCTCGTCGCGCTCTCCCTCTCCGGTGACGTCATCCGTCCCTTCACCGCCTCGCCTGCCGCTTCGCAGGCGCAGTCCGGCCCCGAGTCCGCCACTACCGCCGCACCTGTCGCCGCATCTAGAAATCTTTTAACTTTAAAGTGCAGATGGCGGCGATGGCCGTAATCTTCGGGGGGGACTCGCTGCTGCCTGTAGTCGGCCTCCCGCCACCCCTCCCGCAGTGGTGAGGTCGTATCTTGATCAGGAACTCTAAACGCGAAGTGCAGATGGCGGCGATCGCAATAGTTTTCGCGGGAGACTCGCTGCTGCCTGTCGTTTCGTTTGCCTCCCGCCGCCCTTTCCCCACTAATGAGTGGGTTTGATTGGTTCCGGTTGGAGGAGGGAGTGAGCCTTCACGGTTAGTCCTCCGTCTGCTATGTGCGTTCCAGGGAGTCCTCTGTCTAGTGGAGACTGATTTCCTCGGTATTATCTCTTTTGAGGCGCCTTTTGAGGCGCCTTTTGAGTCGCCTTTTGAGTCGCCTTTTGAGTCGCCTTTTGAGTCGCCTTTTGAGTCGCCTTTTGAGTCGCCTTTTGAGTCGCCTTTTGAGTTGCCTCAAAAGTCGTCCAGGGAGTGTTCCGTCTAGTGGAGAGGAGACTGATTTCCTCGGTATTATCTCTCACACCCACCCCTCTCCCCATCTGCACCCAACCCTTCCTCCCTCCCACTGATTTGCTGCACTCTCTCATATTCCTCCCCTCATCCCTGTCCCCCCCTCCCCACCCCCCCTTCACCGCTTCCCTTGCTGAACTAAACCTGTGGGGTTTCCCAACCCACAGGTATGAGCAGATCCGAACCAACCGGCTAGGCTCGGCAGCAACCGTGTGGATTGTGGGCAATGTGATTCACGGGTCCCTCGCCAGCACGGGCGCTTTCGAGCTTGTCCTGGACGGCCGCACGGTGAGCATTGGTGGCAATGGGTGGCTCTTGGTTTGGTTGGGTTGGGTTTGGTTGGGCTGGGTTTGGTTGGGCTGGGCTGGGTTGGGTTCGGTTGGGTTGGGTTGGGTTGGGTGTGGTTGGTGGTGGGCGTGGGTGGCAGTGTGACATGTCAGATTGGAGTCCCCCTATCACCACCACATCCCAACGTGATGCACGGGTCGTTTAGCCAGCACCAGAGCTTTCGAGCTCATCCTGGATGGCCGCACGGTGAGCACAAAGCATGTGCTGGCCGCCAGCGCATGCTCGTCAGCTCAGCACGGGTGCTTTCGAGCTCGTCCTGGACGGCCGCACGGTGAGCATAGGGCATGCGGGATTTCATCTGGTTGTTTGCTTGATTATTACCTATAACATCCCAGTGTGATGCACGGGTCGCTAGCCAGCACCAGAGCTTTCGAGCTCGTTCTGAACGGCCGCACGGTGAGCATTGGTGGCAGTGGGGTGGCTTGGGTTGTCATGGGATGGCATGGATTGTCATGGGATGGCTTGAGTTGTCATGACGCCTCCCTACACGTCTCCCCTCCTCCCATCTATTTCTCCTCCTCATTCCCCAAATGCCTCCGCCACGTCTTCCCTCCTCCCATCTCTCCTCTTTATTTCCCAAATGCCTATGCTCACGTCTTCCCTCCTCTCATCTATTTTTGAGTCGACTCAGAAGTCAGCTCGTCTTCCCCTCCCATCTAATTGTTCTTCATGTTCACATGGATGCCTCCCCCCCACGCCTTTCCTGCAATTTGATTGGTGCAGCTCTTCTCCAAGCTGGCAGAGGGCCGCATGCCACAGGTGAATGAAATCATTTCATTGGTGGACGAGCACATGCGGGGTAACCACATGCAGCAGTAACCACATAGCACGGTATACATGTGCAATAGTAACATCGTGAAGGGATACTTGCCACAAGAGCAGCGGCAGCAACAGCGGCAGCAGCAGCAACAACAACTGCAGCAGGAGCCAAGTAACAACAACTGCAGCAGGAGCCAAGTAACAGCAACTTTAAAGACCGTCTTTAGGGTAATGATTCTTGAAGCAAGCTTGGTTGGTGGCGAGGGTCGTGCTCCTGGTGATGGGTCAATGCAGGAGGCGTATGCGTGGTTTGTGGGGAGTCGGTGGCACCAGCACAGCAGGGCGTTTTATGACAGCATGGCCACAAACCAATTCAATGGCTGGCTCGTGCTCGATCCTCCTCTGCTACAGCTGGCTACCATTCGATCCTCACTACCACACATCTGCTTCCACGTTCTCATTTCAAGGCACGTCTTCTTCCCAGATGGAAGGGCTGGTTCGATATGAAAATGGCAAATGGGAGGGGTGTAATATTGATATCTGGATGATTGAACATTTATTATGTTCTGATTTGTGCTAGACTTCAGGCACCGACCGAAGTGCCATCGATTCTTCTGTCAGTCCACTCCGCTTCTCGTTACTGGAACCTGTCACTGCTTCCTTGATTCATTCGTGCCGCTCTCTTATCCTATTGGTCGGTTGCGTCTCGTCTACAGCTGCCCGCATCACAAGCCACGGCAGTGGAGGGTTCTGCACAGGGAACCGTAGTGGAACAGCGCCCACCGATAGGAAACAAGCACGAACCGAGCCAATCGTTTTTTACCGAGTCGTAACTTTCTGTACCCTTGAAATTTACGTACCAGCAGAAGCATTTTCTTTTCTCAGGAGACAGGAAGAAGAGAAATGTGAATTTGAGATCGCGAGCTTCGCACAGAAATTCACATTTCTCTCCTTCCTGTCAAGACAGCAACCCTCTTACCACTGTACTCACTCTCCGTGACCTCCGCCATGCTCCCCACATCAACGCTCATCCTCTCCTCTCCCAACCCCGCCTCTGTTCTGTTAACAGCTCGCTTTGCTTATACTGGGACCCTCAAGCAGCGTCGCCAGATCGTTCCGTCTTGCACTCTCTCCGTTTCTAGCAGCTGTGTTTCTCACCAGCGCAAATCCACTTCCGGGTCTCGTTTTCGTCCCGCTCGATCCGCAATCAGAAAATTGGTTCCAGCGAATTCTCTCCAACGAAACCGCGATCTTTTCTCCCTCCGTGCCGTCGCGTCGTCCAATCATAAAGACATGGTCGGTGCAAGTGCAGCTGATGCCGCTGGTTCCAGTGATTCTTCCTCCGGGCTCGTCGTGTGCTTCGGCGAAATGCTCATCGATTTCGTCCCCACCGTCAACGGCGTCTCTCTCGCCGAAGCGCCTGCGTTCATGAAGGCTCCTGGCGGCGCGCCTGCCAACGTGGCGGTCGGCATTGCGCGGCTCGGTGGACGCGCGGCGTTCATCGGGAAGGTCGGAGAGGACGAATTCGGACACATGCTGGGCGGGATCCTTCAAACGAACGGCGTTGACACATCAGCGCTCCGATTCGACGCAGGAGCGCGCACAGCACTCGCTTTTGTCACGCTCAGATCTGACGGCGAGAGGGAATTCATGTTCTACAGGAACCCTAGCGCGGACATGCTGCTACAGCCGGAGGAGCTTGATCTTCCCCTCGCTACAAGCGCATCTGTGCTACACTACGGATCCATCAGTTTAATCACAGATCCATGCAAATCCGCGCATCTGGCGTTGCTAGATGCTGTGGAAGCTAGCAGCAACGCTGTTCTCTCTTACGACCCTAATCTCCGAATTCCCCTCTGGCCGTCCCAAGAAGCGGCGCGGGATGGCATCTTAAGCATCTGGGACCGCGCACACATCATCAAAGTGAGCGACGAAGAGGTGGCGTTCCTGACCAATGGCGGCGACCCTTACAGCGATGATGTGGCACGGTCTCTGTTCAACCTCAGCCACAAAAACAGCAGCAGCGGCGATGGTAAAGAAAAGGGGAAGCTTCGGCTCTTGCTGGTAACTGAAGGGGAGAAGGGATGCAGGTACTACACTGAGCGGTACCAGGGGAGAGTGGACGGGTTTAGTGTTGCTGCTATAGACACCACTGGTGCTGGTGACGCCTTTGTTGCAGGGTTTCTCCGCAAGCTAGCAGCAGGAGGCAGCAGCGAAGGCAGCGGTGGGGACGGTGGGACCACGGCATTGCATGGCTTGGCTGCCTTGGATTCGCTGCTTGCTGATGAAGCGAGGCTGAAGGAAACGCTGCTGTTTGCGAATGCGTGTGGAGCCATCACCACCACGGTTAGAGGCGCCATTCCTGCTCTTCCTGATGAAACTAGGGTGGCTCAGATGCTGGGTTGAAGCTAGCTGGGTGCTATTTGGCATAGAGACATTACAAATTTGTCACTTCCAAAACAAAAGGTGTGTACCTTCTCTTGAAGATAAAAGGATGGGGCAACATTGACTGCCGGCTCAAAAAACTCAAAACAAAACACCTACAACTCATACCTTAACCAAGGTGAGCAGCATTCCTTATGGTGTGCTACATCATTGGGAAAACGTATACACAAAATAGTCACAACGCATTTACACCAACCCAAAAGGAGGCAGCTTATTGAAAGCTGGGTGGAAAAACCCTCCTGTGGAGGGAAATTGCTCCGCACTCCTGCCGTGGTAGGATGTCAGGTTTAACAAAACTGGATGTACGTGTGTTCCTCACGAGGTTACCCGTCCGTAAACAATATCTTCAAGAGAAACGATCTTATTGCGGGTACTGCTGCTCCGCTGCACCCGTAGACGACCAGAAGCACCTGCGGCCAGCACATCTGCCGCTGTTTGCTGCTCCCGCGGGGATTGCTGCTGCGCGGAACACCGCGGGGGCAGCGGCGCGCGATGGTACCGCCTACTCGCGGAGGACGTTGTCGCGTTGTGCTGCTTGATAAAGTCAAGCGCCGCGTCTTCCGCTGACACGTGGCGCGAACGCATTTGAGGCGGCGAATCCAAATCTAGGGATGATCGCGAAGGGGAAGCATCGTGCGCGCCGGTTTCGTAACTAGGCGCGGCTCCGTACGCGTCGGTCCACCCGGGAGTGGAAGCGGCGGACCAGGACGCGGTGCGGCACATAAAAGGGCCCGTCTGAGCCATACCCGACACGGGGGAGGCGTTTCCGCCGTATGCGGCGGCGGCTCGCGCGGCGACCGCGGAAATGTCGAGCAGCTCCGGCGCGTCATACGGCATTTGCTGCGCGCGGAAGCTCCCCGAGTGGGGCGCGGCGGCGGAACCCACGGGGACGGAGCCCATGGCGGCGGGAGATGTAACGCATTGCCCTAACTAAGCTAACCAACCAACTTCCCTCTAAGCAAATGTCGAGAGTTTTCTCGACAAAGAGGGACTTGGAGAAGAAGGTTGGCTTTGGTTGGGATGGAAGGGTTGGTTTGGTTTTCCAAACCTCAACCAAGAGGTTTGGGAAACTCCAACCCATCAAAGTGAAATCACAAAGGTTGGAATTCCAACCAATCAGAAACTACCAAACAATTGTTACAATCTACTCTATCCTAAACACAACCATTGAATGGTTCTAAGTTGGGTTTTCCAACCCAACACAATTGCCACATAGGCTCCAAGCCTAGGAACCATCCCACCATGGAAACCATGGTTGGGATAGTTCCCCAAGGGGTGTATTGAGGGGGTCTGAGCTAAGCAAGCTCATTCTCAACCTCCCACTCCAACTAAACAATTGGAAATGGGATTATTTGGCTAAGTCCTTTAGGCTCTCTCACAAGCTTCCTTACGCAACTACTCCAAGTGCTTTTCATCAAAGGCATTAAGAAGATCTTCATCTCCAAGGCTGTTGAGGCTAGTTAAGGCTACTATTTTGTATTGGAATATTATAAAAGCCTTGTAACCGCCATTATAATAGCCTTGGGCATTACATTGGTACCAGAGCCTAGGGTTCGAATCCCGGCTGGACCACACTTTCCGCCTTTGGCGAGAACTGAAGTGCGGTTGTAACCAGCTCGAACCCAGCGAACGATCCTCCGCTGGCATGAGCAACCAGCGAAGTCGCAGCCAGCAGCACTGCGAAATCTAGGTCCCAGCGGCAGGGGGCCGACTTCCTGAAGTCCAGGGCCAACGGGGACGTTGGCACCAGGGGGGGACGAGTGTAACGCCTGTGGGCTGTGTTAAGGGCACTCCGCTGCGCCAAATAACACCCTCGTTTTGACCCAGTGGGTAGCGAGGTGTTACATTTGGTATCTAGAGCAAGGTTCTTCCTTGGCCTTGTGTGGCCATTTGCTACTTGGAATATTTTTTTTAGAGGATCCTAGCTTGTGGATCTAGGATTTTATCCAAGGAGCAGTGAAGATTTTGAAGAAATTTCAAGATCTACAAAAGCATCTTCAAGATCTACATCTTCAAACTTCAACTTCTTCAAACCATCATTGGAGCTAAGATCTACAAGGAGCTCCTCTTCTTCATCAACATTGAGAAGAAATTTGAAGAGATTAATTTCTCTTACCTACCTTTGGTGGAAGACTCTTGATCTACTTTGAGTAGAAGAGTTTATCTTCAGATGTACAAGGACTTGTTGAGGATTACTCTCTTGAGTATATCTTGCTCTATCATTGAGGTGATAGAGAGATTTAGCAAACAAGTCAATCTTAAGAGATTCTGTATTGGATTATTCTATAAGAGTAATCAGATTTCTTAAAGATTATTCTAAGATCTGTTGAGATCTCCTGTCCTTAACCTGTTTCATGGCTTCTGGTCAAGAGATGGATGCTCCTAAGGAGGTGTCTGTTGTTGGCAATGAAGGAGATAATGCTGCTGCTGCTGCTGACATTGATCTCAACCTTGAGGATTTCGTGGTTGACATGGAGATCAATGGAAGTGAAGCTGACCTTGAGGCTGATGCTGAAAATGAGGATGAGGCTGGCTCTGATCAGGGTGTCTCTAACGAGACTGAGAACATTGCTGTCAAACTCCAGACTCAACTCACGGAGCAGAATATTCTCATTGGAGTGCGACAGTGCCGCATCCAGAACTTGGAGGCTGATTCTGTTAAGCTTCAGGCCTTGATTGAGCAGCTGACCAGGGAGGTACAGTTGATCCCTAAGGAAAACGACACCTCCAGTTTCATTCAGGACCTGCAGACCACTCTCCAGTTCGTGCAGGATCAGCTCAAGAAGCAAGAGAAAAACATCTCTGTGCTTCAGGCTCAGTACAGGGAGATCCGGCGTGGCAACCTCTATCAGCCTGCTCCTGCAGCAGAGCGAGTCGCCAATGCCGCTAACAGCCATGCTGCACTTGCTGCTGCACCTCCTGTTGTTCCTCCTCCTTCTGGAGCACGTGCTGAGCCTCCTGCTGCAGCTGCAAATGCTTTTGGCTCCTGCCCTTCGGCCCTGCCTCGTTTTGTCCATGGCAAAACTGACGTTGAGACTTGGCTCTCCATGGCGGAGGACTTTATGTCCATCCACAATGTGCGTAGCGAGGCTCGCGTGGTCGCTGCGACCCTTGCCCTGGACGACACTGCGAGCAAGTTGGTGTATGCCAACAAACGCCACGCAGAGGCTAATGGCCATCCTTTTGGCTGGGAGGAGTTCAAAGCTGCCATGCTGGCGGCATTCCTGAGTCAGCCCCCGGCGCTCGAGGTGCGTAGCCGCCTGGAGAACATCCAGTGCGGTGACCAGCCTGTACGCGAGTACGCCAAGGAGTTTGAGAAAACTCTGTCGCTGCTGAAGACTGCTCTTCCTGAGAGCGAGGTCATCCACCAGTTCTTCAAGGGACTCCCTGAGCACATCAAGCGTGTGCATATTGTGCGCGGGGAGCACCAGTGGAGGACCTACAAGGAGTGCAAGGAGCAGGTCATTGACACGGATGTGAATTTCCGTGCGTACATGACTCACGCTCGTGCTCAGCAGCAGCCTAGTGCCGAAGGCCCTGGGGGGGGTGGTAGCAGGACTCAGGCACACAGGGGCGGTGGCTCTTGGAAGAGGCCCTATCAGCAGAAGGGGGAATCCTCTGGGACTCAGTCCAAGAGGGCCCATGCTGGGCCTGCCAAGGATCCTCAGGATGAGGATAAGCCCCCGGCGGGCTGCCGCATCTGTGGCAAGCTCGGCCACAAGTCCTATCACTGCCGTTGGAGGAAGTCTGTCAAGAACTCCGGCAAGCCCAACCAGGGCAAGAAGCCGGATGGTTCTGGCCCTTCGGGCCCGAAGGATTTTCCGAAGTCCAACTAGGGGGTGGGTACCTAGTTGGTGAGCGAGATCGAGTAGATGAGGCTTATGTCCTTCGTGATGAGGATTTGCTAAAGCTAGAGAAGCTTGCATCATGCAAAATCGCTTGTTTGTATGCCTCTTCTATTAATGAAAAATCTGTTTTTAAAACTCGATCGTACCCACTTGAAAACATCTCAATTGAATCCTTGAGAGATAAATTTTCAATCATCTCTTGCTCGTTCAACGAGTTGCCAGCAATCATGGATATTGTAGACCGTTGTGTCCAAGAGCACCCGCTCACGTCAGTGGGATTGGTGACTCGAATCGTGAAAGGAGAGTTGTTCCGCCGATTTCACGAATGGCATATCCTGGCAACATGGGACAAAGGGCACCATGTTTGGTGGACCACATCCCAAAGGTTTGGACGTGCTCACAACAAATTTAGGGTGTACTTTCGACCTCCTAAACTTGTTGTCGCTTGTCCCATCCGTCCAAGATTTCAACAGAATTTATTGTTGTCTGGACGCATGAATGGGGACGAAGCAAAGATTCTCGTCGATACAGGCGCGTCGGTTTCCCTTGTTGATGAAACTTGGGTTACGACACGCAACGTCCTCGTTGTAGGACCGTCATGTCCCATCCGCTTGGGTGACGATCGTGTCATTCCAAGTAAAGGACAGACACATATCGACATGAATGTACAGGACTATAGCGAAACAGTTCGCGTGTACGTCCTACCACTTTTGTCAGGAGTCGACCTCATCCTTGGCATGGATTGGTTACGAGCCAACGAAGTCATTCTGGACTTCCAGTACAACATTGTCTCGTTCAACAAGAACGGAAAGGCAATCCAGTGGCAAGTCAATGATACTTTGGTCACTGAAACACAGACGCCTGAACGTCCAAGCGCGCTGTGTGTGTTGGCCAACCAGTTCGGGCATTTTGTTAAGTCAGCTGATACACTATTCGTGGTACAGCTTGAGAATGCCGGGGCCTCGGAGCCAGCAATTGAGGATTTCCCTCCTCAGATGCAAATACTGGCAGAGGAATTCAAGGAAGTGTTTGAAACCATCCCCAATGGACTTCCACCTGACCGCGCAGTGGGTCACACCATCCCTGTTGAACCAGGAAAGGTTCCACCCTTTCGACCTCTGTATCGCCTCAGTCCAGCTGAGTACGAGGAGGCAAAACAACAGATCGAGGAATACCTCAGAAAAGGAAGGATTGAACCCAGTGCATCCCCTTACGGAGCACCGATTTTGTTCGTTAACAAGAAGGGCAGAGGATTACGCATGTGCGTAGATTATCGTGCCTTGAACAAGATTACGGTGAAGAACAGATACCCTCTACCACGAATCGAGGATTTGTTCGATCGGCTCCAAGGAGCTCAGTGGTTTAGTGCACTGGACTTAGCTCAGGGGTATCATCAGCTACGAATCACCGAAGATGTTCCAAAAACGGCTTTCAGAACGCCGTTCGGGCATTTTCAGTGGCGTGTGTTAAGTTTTGGCTTGACAAATGCTCCCGCGTCATTTCAGCGAGCAATGAATGATGTGTTTCGGGAGGCAATTGGCCAATTCGTCCTGGTATACTTGGATGACATCCTCGTGTACTCGAAGACAGAAGACGAGCACACGCAACACTTGAAATGGGTGTTAGGAAAACTGCGAGAGCATAAATTCTTTGCTCGGTTGTGGAAGTGTCACTTCTACAAACGCGGATTGGAATACCTTGGTCACTTGGTAGGCAATGATGGCCTCAAAGTGGATCCAAAGAAAGTGGCGGCAGTCCAACAGTGGCCCGTTCCACAGGACGTGGGACAGGTCAGATCATTTCTTGGACTTGCGAACTATTTTCGCCGTTTCTTGGAGAATTATTCCTCTGTGGTCGCTCCACTGACTGCCCTCACACGGAAGGGTAATGATTGGCAGTGGACTGATCAGTGCCAGAAGGCATTTGAGGAGGTAAAAACCATGCTGACCAATGCTCCAGTGCTGGCTTTGCCAGACCCGTCCAAGCCCTACGAGGTGGTAACTGATGCCTCGACAGTAGGGATTGGAGCAGTTCTTTTGCAAGAAGGACGCCCCGTGGCATTTGAGAGTAGAAAGCTTTCTCCGGCTGAGCAGCGCTATACAACTTCCGAACAGGAATTGTTGGCGGTTGTGCATGCGCTACGAACATGGAGATGTTATCTCGAAGGTGTTGACTTCGTGGTCACGACCGACCATTGTCCGAACACCTATTTTGCCACTCAAGCCACACTCACCCGCCGTCAAGCTCGATGGGCGGAACTCCTTAGTGGGTTCACCTACGATATTCGATATCGAGCGGGCTCGACGAACATGGCTGATCCGTTGAGCAGACAGCCGATTGGCGCAGCAACAGGGGTTGATGATAACGAACATGAAGCAGTGTTTGCTGCTTGTTTCAATATCCTCGCAGCTGCTCGAGTGAGCGAGATTGCCTTTAGTGGTTTTCTGAAACGCATCCGCGCAGGGTATGATATTGACCCCTGGTTTCAGAACCCACAGAATACAAAGGATCTCTTGTGGGAGCATGAGCTCTGGTGGCACAAGAAAGAAATTGTTGTCCCACATGTGGGAAACCTGCGGAATGATATTCTAGCAGAGGTGCACGCCACTAAGTATGGAGGACACCTGGGTGTCAAGAAAACCCGGTGGGCCCTCAGTGATGTATACTGGTGGCCGAGATTGGGCATTGAGGTCCAGCAGTTTGTAACTCGCTGTGACACGTGTGCACGGAACAAGCCAAGCACACAGAAGCCTGGTGGTTTGCTTCAACCACTTACCATTCCCGATGAACCTTGGGAGAGTGTATCGCTGGACTTTATCACCGATCTCCCCAAGACGCGAGATGGTCATACGGCGATTCTGGTGTTTGTTGATCGCCTGACCAAAATGGTGCACTTCGTGCCCACGACGACTGACGTGTCTGCGGAGGATACGGCAAAGTTGTTTGTGACGCACGTTTTCCGCTTACACGGTTTGCCTCGTGTGATGGTGTCTGACCGAGACCCGCGCTTCACAAGCCGGTTCTGGCAAGAGGTCACTAAGACACTGGGAACGAAACTCAAGATGTCGTCTGCTTTCCACCCACAAACGGACGGACAGACAGAGCGGACTAACCGCACCCTTGAGCAAATGCTTCGTTCTTTCATAAGCCCAAGTCAGGACGATTGGGATGAATTGTTGCCAGTCGTAGAATTCGCTGTGAACAATTCAGTGCATGAAAGCACGCATGAGAAACCCTTTGTCCTGAACTGTGGTCGGCACCCTACAACCCCTGCGACGCATGGGATTAAGAACCTCAAAATCCCTGCCGCAAAGGACTTTATTGGAAAGCAGCAAGCGGCTTTGAAGTCCGCTCGCCATTGGCTGCAGCTTGCCCAACAGAGGCAAAAGTCCTATGCCGACATGAAACGCCGGGAAGTCGTCTTTGCAGTTGGCGACAAAGTATTACTGAGTACGAAGAACATTCGTCTCAAGATCCCGGGAGCACGAAAGCTCTTCCCTCGTTGGATTGGGCCCTTCGAGGTGATTGCGCGAGTTGGTGAGGTCGCATACAGGCTCAAGTTGCCTGCGACACTGCAGATTCACAATGTCTTCCACGTGTCTCTGCTCAATAAGTATGTTGCTGAAGGCAAGTACTTACCACCACCAACCATCGTTCTCGGGGAGGAACTCTTTTATGAAGTCGAACGTGTGCTAACGCACCGTGATCGACAACGCGGCCGCAAAACAGTTCGTGAGTTCCTAATTCAGTGGAAAGGCTATGGGCCGGAACACAACTCTTGGGAGCCTGAGGAACACTTGACCGAAGCAGCGGTTCAAGCGTATATGGAAGACCTGGCTCTACGAGCAGGCCCACAACCAGTGGATAGGGTTGACCCTGGTCGTAATGTGGTGCGCCGTGCTCGAAGCACTCGTCCTAAGAAGCACCCTAGGGCAACGGGGACGTTGCCACCTGGGGGGGGAGGAGTGTAACGCATTGCCCTAACTAAGCTAACTAACCAACTTCACTCTAAGCAAATGTCGAGAGTTTTCTCGACAAAGAGGGACTTGGAGAAGAAGGTTGGCTTTGGTTGGGATGGAAGGGTTGGTTTGGTTTTCCAAACCTCAACCAAGAGGATTGGGAAACTCCAACCCATCAAAGTGAAATCACAAAGGTTGGAATTCCAACCAATCAGAAACTACCAAACAATTGTTACAATCTACTCTATCCTAAACACAACCATTGAATGGTTCTAAGTTGGGTTTTCCAACCCAACACAATTGCCACATAGGCTCCAAGCCTAGGAACCATCCCACCATGGAAACCATGGTTGGGATAGTTCCCCAAGGGGTGTATTGAGGGGGTCTGAGCTAAGCAAGCTCATTCTCAACCTCCCACTCCAACTAAACAATTGGAAATGGGATTATTTGGCTAAGTCCTTTAGGCTCTCTCACAAGCTTCCCTACACAACTACTCCAAGTGCTTTTCATCAAAGGCATCAAGAAGATCTTCATCTCCAAGGCTGTTGAGGCTAGTTAAGGCTACTATTTTGTATTGGAATATTATAAAAGCCTTGTAACCGCCATTATAATAGCCTTGGGCATTACAGGAGACGTGAGTCCGCGCGTCAGCCGCCGAGAGCCGGAGCTCGTGTCGCTACCGCACATGCCGAAGACGCCACTGCTACTGTTACTGCTGCTGCCGCTGTTGCTGGTTCCGCAACTGCTGAGGCTGGTGTTTCTGGAGTGGGAATAATACTGGCCGGGTTGTGCGCCTGAAGGGAAATAACCGCCCGCTGTCTCCATAAAGTCCGGAAACTGCCCCGCCTCGCCGCCGGCGCCGGCGCTCTTCGGCCGATAAAAAGGCTCTGCGCCAGATCCCTTCACACTTTTAACGGGTTCCATTGTAACGGGGTCGAAGCCGCAATAGCTAGGGTCAACCCTCTGAGTCATAGGCTCCACGAGAAAATACGTTGTTCCGGGCCGGAGCGCGGCGTGCGGGGAAAGGCA